AGAGCTCCACTACATCCTGCACATGGATGACTCAATCACACCAGGCTAGAACAGGGCAAGACACAAGCTTTATCTCTCAGTAACCAAGATTAGACTGTGAATAAGAGGAATTAGCTAAAGGTCAAGCCAGCTAGAACAAGAATAATGAACACAGGCTTAAGGAACAGCTGTGTGCAATTTCTCAAAGTACAGCAAATTCTCTTTCTTTGACTCAGTAGCAAGGGGAGGCAGAGCAGTTCTGGCCAAGGGACTGCAAGCCCCATCATCCAGCAAGACCTCGCCTTCTGTGCACACCAAGTCCTCCACAAAGCTGTAAGCATTGCCTTTGATCTCAGCTGACAGTCACAACCTCCCAGAGCAGTCTGTGTTGTCGTTGCAAGAAGGTCCCTTGCTCCTCAGGTCAAGGTGATGCACCCTAGGCCTCCAGGCCCAGCGGACAAAGGCTTCTCCTCAGGATCTTTGACCTTGTAATTAACACCTGGCCTGTCCGACTGGGAGGAGCTGGAACACACCGACCTTTGGAACCTTTGGAAAGTTCGATTAACTTCAAGGGCCTTTTCTGGGAGCGTTGGTTGAGGAAACAAAGAGCTCTGAGAAGTGCTGGAGCATTGTCATCAAATCGTTCTGAACATCACTATTTTTAGCACGGTGAGAAGGAGAGAAGGGAGCTGAAGAGGATAGGCTGGAGCCCCAGCGCATGGGATGGTGGCAGCAGGAGGGCCTCTCTTAGCATACACATGCCTCAGCCCCATGCCTGACCAGAGGAGGGAAGGAGCTGTGGTGGTGGTGATAACACACTTTTAAATTTTATTCATTTTTTTTAAGAGAGGAAGCTCCGTTTTCATCACCCCACCCCCATGGTCAGAAATTGAGACCCACAGATAGAGCTGGAGATAATGGCAGGTTGCCATGGAAATGTGCATTTAGTCTCACTGTTTCCATGGCAACTGAAAGACATACCATTCTGTTCCTCTGAAGGATGCCAAAGGTAAATGAGCACTGATTAAAACAGGGGCACAAACTTGGGCTCTAATCAACCACAAAGAGTAGGGCCATAAACTCTTATTGCTCAAGCAGGAAATATTAAGAGCTTCATAGTGATGGGAAGGCCAGAGGCAGGGAGCCCTGCACACAAACTACTCCCTGCAGAGCCAGGAATTACAGCCCTGCTGTATTGGCCCAGCTCAATGCCATGCCCAGCTTCAGCTGCCTAACTATGGTCTTTCTGTTTGTAGTGGGATGCTAAAACCACCCCAAATCCATGGTCTGCCAGGCTGCTTCCTGGCTGGATATCTGCACAAATCAAAGCCAGTAACAATCTAATCCTGGAAGTCAAGCAGAGCAAGCATACTTCTCAGAATCCAGCAAGAGCCAAACCACACCATTAATCCTATGTGCCTAGCCCCTGATGGTGCTTGATTCAAAGACTCATCCTCTTCTAAAACAAAACAAAACCAAAAAACAACAGCAATAAAAAGATTACTCAAATGGAAGCTGTGTCTCCTTGAATCCTGGTCCTTCTTCCATGCTGGCTGACATTCAAATCAAATAAGCCATTAGGCAAAGTAACCCCTTTCTCTACTGCCAATCCATCAAGGAGCTGTTGATCTGGCCTGTTCCAGAGGACAGTGGATATCCTGAGAGCCCCTGCTGGTGTGCGTGGAAGAACAGACAGAGAATGAGGCATCAGAATGTCGCGTATCCTATTACACACAGCTAATGAACCCAACTGCTGCATTTGCGAATGGAAGCAGCATGCAGTTCAGTCCTCAAGCACACGATGTAACAACACAGCCTGGGAATACGGAGAGCTTGCCCTCAATTTAGAGAACTCCTCTGGCCAATCCCAACTAAGGGTGTGAATAGGGGGTTTATACCACTCCAGTTTCTACTCCGTGCTGCCAGTGGATGTTCAGAATGCTTGCAAAGCTGAAGGCAGTTGTGATACAAAAGTATTGCCTTCATAGCGTGGGACACAGACAAGAGAAGACTTCTGCTTGCCTGTCAGTGCCTTGGAGTGAATCCTCCGCCATGCACTGGATTCAGGCACATCCTAAGAAAGCAGGAAATTATACTACCGTGTGGAGGAAGCAGAAGCCCAATGGGGTGCCTCTGAGAGGGAACTGGCTCTTCTGCCCTAGCCATCTTCCTGACTCATCCCACAGGTCAGTACAGATGTAGAATATTACAAGGAAGACTTGAATTTAGTTAAATTTTACACAAGAATACGTGGGAGTTGTTCTCTTAATACCGGCCCTTGGCTGATTGTCTAGGTGCCACCCAGCCCAAATGCTCTGTTTAGCAAGCAATACCTACAGCAGCCCACTCAAAGCAAGCACCGTATCGCCACGCGTATCCCTAAAGCACTATTTCTCCACCTCTCTCTGGAAGAGGTGCAAGTTGCCCCAGTTAATAAGTGGTAGAAGCTATCAAGTTTTAAGAATGGAGTTGGAATGCTGTTCTTAGAACATGCTGGTTATCTTCCAAGTCCCTGGAGAGCCAAAAAGCCCTGACCAAAGCAAGGATTTCTATGACATCTGTCTCTATCCACCTGTCACTGGCACTGATGATTGTGCCCTTTCCCTTGAAGTTTTATCTTAACATAGGTTTCCATAAATATCTTTCTTGATCATTCCTTGTCAGGTGGGTGAACCGAGAGAATCCTTCATGTGGGAGCAGAGAAAAGATTTTCCACTGCATCTTCTCATTTGCAATGAATTTGAATTTGCCAGCATCTTCAGCTCCACACCGCTGTCCTAATCTCACAGTTTCAGTACAAGGGCTGCAACACATTCCCACATTACAGGCACCACACAGATGTGCCAAAGCAGTCCCTCACTCTCCAGGCAGAACTCTAATCCTCTGCATCCTTTACTTTGTACAGTGGTGAAATCTTCCCCCCACTAAGAGTAGCCCATGTACAAACCTTAACTTTTTTTTTATTTTTAATTTCTGCCAGAGCCAGAATCCAGCCTTTATTGCCTATATAGGCAAAATTCACCAAGGTCACCTTAATTCCAATTCTGCAATATGACCCCCTTGCCACCTTCCTAGACACAGAAGTTTCCAATTTATAATGTACTGCCATGGGTTTCTTTCAGATATACTTTTTTAAGACAACATGGTTATAGAAATAACAAAGCCTTTAGCATCCATTCCATACTGGGTACAGTAAGACTAGTAGTTTTGGCCAGTAGATTTTAGCTGCTGACAGGAAGCAGAACTAGCAGGTCAAGCGCAATGCACTGTACAGATGAAGCCTCTCCAGCTTTGAGCAATTTCTCTGACATAAAGACTACGAGTCTGGAGTTAAGACAAAATCAGCTCTAGCCTGCCTCCAAAGATACTTTTGTTCTTGCATAGGTCCTGCAAGGAGCACATTCAACCTTACTCAAGCTGCAAGTCTTGTCCAGAACAGCCAATCCTAAAGAGTAAGGGGTCCACCTAGTGCAGTTACAGCAGTACTACCAAAAGTGCAGACAGCAAGGCATGCATGCAAGCTTCCCCTGAGCCCAGCAACAGGCTGCTGGTGACACTGGTACGAACACAACATTTCATTTATGGTTGGACCGGATAATCTTGGAGATCTTTTCCAACCTTGGTGATTCTATGATTCACCCTTCATACAGTCCCTGCAAAGAAGGAGGCAAGTTATCTGAAAGTGGTTGCACTCCATGCAGACAGCACTCACTTGATTTACTTGAACAGTGGAGAGTGGGCAAGTGGCACCTGGTTAGGTTCTGTAGACAGAGCCTGTACACATTTACTAAGTACAGTAAGCCAGGTGGAATACTTACAGGGGCTAAAGAAAGGTTTTCATTTACAAAAACAAAAACCAACCCTTGCTATTTGCTGGTTTCCTCTTTTCCCTTCACTACTCCTGCACTTACATTTCCCATTGAAAAGTGCCAGAAGAGACTTGACCAAGGTCCAATCGTATGAAACAGACCAAGAGCTAGATTACACACCTTCTACTTCAGAAAGCAATTTTTCATTGCTCTGCTATCCCACCTGAAAAAATATATATATCTAATGTCTTCTACCTACACATGCTTTTAGGTCTTCTATCTTTTGAAGGCATTTTTGGCAGACATTCAATTCAAGACCTAGGAGATTGCGGTATCCTGCAGGGATTTAGGCAAGTCTTTTCATCATATCCTTTGGCTCACTACAGCACTACATCCAGCTCTGTTTGATAGGGACATAAGCATGTTGACTGCAGGGAACAAATCAAAAGCACCAGACCAAAGGAACTGCTGCTCTAAAACCCACCCGTATTCCTCAAGTGACAAAACTGCATAGTTTATGGATGAAGCTAACATTGTCTGGCTATAAACTAAGCATGAGAAATCAGCAGGCAGACACAAAGTATACGTATGTGCTGCTGACTAGCTTAGAAAGGAATTCTGTAAGCTTAACAACAAGAAGAATGCCTATGGCATTGGGTCATCAAAACCTCATGGCTTGCTTTAAGCAGTTCCCCTGAAACCAAAGTCAAGCAGTCCTCCCAGACTCACGAGAATGATTCAAGTCTTCGACAATTTGGTTTTGATCAGATAAAACACAAGAGAGGGAACAAAAATAGTTGTTCCACTTCTCACCCAGAAGCAGTGAATCACGTGATTTAAAGATTTAAAAGAAGCACATGATTTAAAAGACATTCAGTGGCAGATAAAAAGATACAGAAAACTAATCAAAATGTTGTTATCTTGGAAACCTCTATTTTTCCCTTTTTTTTTTTTTTTTTTTTTAAATTTCAGAAAGGAAAAGAGTTGTTTAACTCTTTCATAACACCAGACAGGATAAATGGTGAGGCAAATTATTCTTAGTTAAGTCACAGTGACTTAAGGTCACTCATCAATATTCCAGAACTTCTTTGCCTTTGTCACCTAAACTTCCTTTCCTGTTAGGAAGACAGTGGATTCACTACGAAACTTAAGAGATTGTATGATATAAAAAGCCAAGACATGTTTAGGAACAACCTAAAACAGCACTGGGGATAGAAGGCTGTGTATTTTATTTATATACATATGCACACACCACTTTTTTTTTTTTTTCTAAAATAAAACAAATAGCTATTAATTCCTCCTACCTCAGTCTTTGAGCTTCACTTACTTTGAACATGTCAAAACTTTCATCCCAGGGACTGAGAGCAAAACTACTATGGGCTCCTGGGACTGAGACCAGCTTGAAAAAGCTAAGTGTCCAAAAAAGCCCACAGAACATTGAACAGCCAGCAACACTGGTAGGTATAAATCCAATTCAGATGAAAAAAAATTGGTAAACAGTCCTAGCTGGAATGAACCCAGATTCCACCCACCAGAAATGCATGAGTAATACCAAACAACCTCAAATACATATGTTTTTTTTTTTTTAGTAAGAACTCTCAATAAACACACACATATATACAGCCATCTCTTGTAGAGACAAACGGTTCCACATTCTGGAGAAGGCAGGGTGAGTCTGCGCCACTGAGCAGGTGATTCACAAAGCACTGAAGATGCTTCTGTTTGCGTGATTATGGCTACTTCATATTTCTGAGAGGAAGGCCAAAAAGTCTTGGAAACAGGCTCAGTTCAGACACATACAGCTGGTGTCATCTGTAACTGCTGTGTTACAGGGTTAGGAATAGATGAGAAGGATCAACAGGGAAAAGATCAAACAAAACCCTCTGAAGACTGCCAGGGAACATCTGCAGCCAGCAATCATCCATAAGAAGTCCAATCAGAATTTGACAGAAAAGGAAGTCCCACAGGAGCATCCCTTCTCTGCCTGAGGATTGCTCACCACCTGGAATGAGCTGCGAATCAGCTCCTGGCTGAAGTCTACCATGGAACCTTTCACAAAGGCCAGGCTGTCCACATCCACAACTACACGAGCACCGCCTTGTTCAAAAACCCTGCAGAAAAGCAGCATATTTAAACATCAGTTGTGCTACAGATACAACCAAGAAGCGCAGCCTGAGCACCTCCCTCATCTTGCATTCTTTGTCCTTCCAAGATTTTGTACTACACACACATCCATCTTGTCCCCTTTGTACAGAACAGCCCCTCTGTCCTTGCCTGTCATCAGGATTTATAACCGTGTCCAAAGAAAACTTGTACTGGAACCCCGAGCAACCACCTCCTTCCACCTGCAGCCTGAGAAACTCTGATCCTTCTGCAATCTCCAGCAGCCTCTACAAAACAGAAAAGATTAAAAACAAACAAACAAAGGCTCAAACCATGTTGAACGAACAGGCAAATGCTGCAACACCTCCGCTGTGCACTCGCGGCAGGCCGGACGCTTCGGGAAGCCCTCTTGGGGCCATACCTTCACGCAGCTCTCGCTGAGGTAGACCTGTCCCTCGTTGGAGTCGCTCTCCGTCGGGCCCGGCTGGGAGGAGGACGATGCCCACCGCAGCGAGCGGCCCAGCGCGCAGACAGGGGCCGGCGGGGGGCCGAGCGGCGCTCGTCCTCTGTGCGACGAAGCAGAACACCAACTGCTTCAGGGAGAAGGAGGGGAAGAAAGGGCGAGCCTCAGCGGGGCCACGCCGAGCCCCCGGCCCCGCACTCGCCACCCCCTGTCACAGAGAGAGGCGCTGCCGAGTCGGTACCTGACCCGACCGCCCCGCGCCATCCACCAACAGCGCCTCAGCGCCGCCATCTTGCCTCTCGCTCCCTCCTCAGCGCCCCGCCCCACCCCGCCCGCCCATTGGCTGTCCGGCGCCGTTATTTCCGGCGCGAGGCGCCGTGGCGCGTACCGAGGCGGAAGCGTTCGGTGGGGCGGGTTGTTACGCGACGTGCGGGTGGGTCGGGTGAGCAGTGGCGCCCGCCGGGGTCTGGCTGTGTCCCGACCTGGGCTGCGGGGGAGCGGTGGCCCACGCATAGGGAAGACGTTGACACCGCTGTGTCAGCCCGGTCCTAGGTTTGGGAACGTGCTGTGGCTGAAAGCACGTAACTTGTATTTGTCCTTGAAAGTGTTTGCTTTTGAAAGCAGCAAAGAAAAATATCTTTGTAAATAATACAGCGCTTTTCAGCAGAGTGTGTTTGCGGTGGATTTAGCTGTGAGGGTTATTTGCGCTGAGCAGTACCCTGAGACCCTGACAGGGATCAAGATGTCATTGCAGGGGGAATTACGCAAACAGAAGAACAAACACAGGGCCTGCTCTGAAGGATTTCTTATGATTTTTCCCGATAACTGACTTTTCTGTTTTACTTTCTTTATCAGGGAGGAATCTCTGAGTCTCTAAGCTCAGCGCTCCCTGCGGAGGCCAGTTTTCCTTTGGGTTGGGATTCACGACCCTGGCACTGCAAACACAGATATGCTCAGCTTTCTGCATGTGCCGCAGTTCCGCGCGGCCCCCTCCCGCTCCTCGCGTCTCTGTGAGAACAGGATCCAGCAGGATTGGGCAGATGTGCAGCCTTCATCCCCGCACTGGGTGCGTAAGGCGCAGTTCTCAGACGCAGTCTCCATGGTTTCACCACCGAGCCTGCGTTAGCACCAGCACTTGCCATCTCCCAGGCCCCCTCTGCTCATATCTCCTGCCTCGCATTTCTGCGTGTGTAGGTGTTTAATGATTCTTCAATTAACTCTTCACAGTCAAAGCAGGGAACTCATGCTTAATGAAAGGTTACGTGCATTTTGTTAAAGGTGCTTTTCCTCTTCAAAAACTTGTATCAAGCGCTTTGTGGAGGATGAATCTTCACTCACCTGACCGAGTCCAGAACTTGGCTGCCAGCCTGAAGCTGAGCAGCTCTGCCTCGTTTCTCTCCCTTAAACCTGATCATTTGACATGTGACACTGGTCCGGCCTGTTGCACAAAGGTGTGCCTACAGTTAAAGGGTTGCTTATCATTTACTCACGTGCTTCGGCTGGAGGAATTCCAGGCTGCAATCCTGTTCCCTCACCTCCAGTCAGGTTTGTGGAGAGTCATACAGTGGCATGACAGAGGAAAACCAGTCATCCCAGTAGGAGGGGATCATTTAAAGTCAGCACAGCTCGGGACTTGGTGACTATTAGCTTTCTCACACAGCTGAATCGGAACAAGGCAGTGCCTAGAACAGCTTGACCTCCTTGCAGCACAGTGGAGGCAGAGGAAGTACTTAAATCCAAGATGACATCTGTTTGACAAAGTTATTGTCCATTAAGCATGTAGTAGGCAGCTCCATACAGAGATTTAACAACTGCAGGAAGCAAAAGTATTTTCTTTGGCATAGGCATAGAAATCAAGCACGTGGTGGAGTGCCTGGAGTAGTAAACATGTAGTTAATATTATGTGTATAAATCCTAAAAGGCTCACTCCCACAGTGAATGTGGCTGCCAGGCTGAGGGGGCAGTGCTTTAAAGAAATGCAACCACATGCTTTTGCTTATGTATACCACCTTGCACATGTAAATAAAGACTGGTTTGAGCCGTTTAGTTTTTCTCACTCTTGGATTAACTCTGATAATGTTCACATAAAACCAGGAAAGTATCACAGGTGGGGTCCCAGAGGAGCTGGCGCTCATCCAGTTAGCTGCAAACAGCTGGATCCTCAGATTAGGCGTATTGGAACAGTTGATGCTTTTAAACACATATGGGGGTGTTTTTTGAGTTATTATCAGTGCACCTCTGCATTTGAAGGAATGAATCAAGAGCTCCTGGGAAAAAAAGGGAGAAGGATGGTTCTACTTCTCACACTGCACTGGCTTTTCTCTCTCTTGCAGGATTTATTGTGCTGAGTGCTGGCATTTCATGGCCTCGTGTTGCATCTATATTCACTGCAATCTCTTATTGGATATTTGATGTAGCCTGCTCCCTTAAAAAAAAAAACACTTGTACTTTCTACATGCCCTCAGTTTTACCAGCGTTAGATGTCTGAAATGGTACAAGTATTTTCAAGGCATTTCTGGATGTTGTTGCATTACTTTAGATTGAGAAAATGAGAGAGTTGGCCTCAATCAGAGTTAATTTAGTCTGATTAATAATCCATTGCTCTGGCGAGTGATTCATGTGCTGGACGCAAATGTTCGGAGTAGCCAGGCCATGTAAGGAAGGAGAACAGCTGTTTCTTTGCACCTCTCTATTACCAGTGATCGTTTTTTCTTTCTGCCAGCTATGTAGTCAGGGGGTGTTTTTGTCTCGTCCAGAATTAAAATCCATGTTTTCTCCCTTCCTAGGCTGTGGCTTTGTTGGTCTTGTGGTTCTTGATAACTTGATATAATCTGATTGTACTTTTTTTCCCCCTCCTCATTCTGCACACTTTATGTTTTGGGGAGTTCCTTAAGCTCTCTTTAAGCCTGCTGAACTGACGAGGTCTGCCTGCAAGCTGGGTTCTCTAAGTATTCCGCTTGTTTCTATAGCGTGTGTGTTTAAGGCATTTTATCTCAGGGGAAAACTGGGCTCGTTTGAGTGATTCAGAAACTGATGACAAGAAACCACTGCCATGGCTGTTGAATGTGAGTGTCCCGTGGTGCACTCATTGTGAATGCTGGTGATCTGCAACAAAAGGAGCATGTACTGGCTGAGAGAGCAGGAGAAACTGATGCATGATGATGATGATGTGGATTTTCTCTAGAATACCGTTTCTGTATTCACTGCCACTACAGTGCCTGAAGGTCTGTGTGTTTACCAAGCTGCAAGTGCAGTGCTGTTACAGGAATTTACATTCATTGGGCATAGCTGCTCATCAAGCGGGACTTCAGATTTTTTCCTCGGGTAATGGAGTTGGTGGGATATGTAAGTGCAGAACGCAAGCACCAGTCTCGGATGAACGTATCTTTTCATTTTCTCAGTGAAACGGTGGCTCCAGGATGACCCAGAGGCCCACGGATTGTACCAGCTGTCACAAGGGGCACGTCCCTGACAGCAAGGTCTGCCAGCGGCTGTCTGTTCTGCTGAACGCTGCCTCGGGGAATCTGAGCAGCAGCAGCGCCGCCGCGGAACCGCCTGCCAACCCACCTGCAGCCCACGGCCCGGCCCCGCGGGCGGAGCGGCGCTCAGCTGACCGCCGGCACGGGGCGGGGCGGCCTCGCCGCTCTCATGTGACGCCGCCGCCGCCGCCGCCACCGCCTCCGCAGCGCAGCGCTCTGCCGTGCCGCCATGGTGCCGCCGCCTCTCGTGCTGCTGCTGGCGCTCGCTGCCGCCGCCCTGGCCGAGCCGCTCCGCTTCGTGGACTGCGGTGAGTGTCCCACGAGGCGCGGGGGCCCGGTTCCTTGGCCGAGCGGGAGTTGCCCTCCGGGGTCCTGGCACCGCTAACCCCTCGCTCGTCCTTCTAGGTTCCAAAGACGGAAGCATTCAAGAGGTGAACGTGAGCCCCTGTCCCACGCAGCCCTGCCAGCTCGTCAAAGGGACCTCGTACAGCATCAACGTCACTTTCTCCAGCAGTAAGCATCGGCTCTGTGGGGCCTGGGGTGCTGGTGGGATCCTGTGAGGAGGGATGAGGTGGGCAGAGGGGCTGACAGCGTTAAGTCTGTGCCTTTGTGTCGGGGAATAACTGGGCAGAGTGGCTGGAGGGTGCCACGGAATGGGAAGAGGTAGCCGAGGAGGAGAACTGCTTAGTGTGCTCTCTGCAGCCTTCAGGCAGACTGTCCTCCAGGTACACAATCATAGAATCATAGAATGGCCTGGGTTGAAAAGGACCACAATGATCATCTGGTTTCAATATGTCCAAGGGAGGTCACAAAGTGGAAGTGTTTCCCTGCTCTGGTGCTGCACTCACTCTTCTCATGTCCTGCAGAGATCGAGAGCCAAGGCAGTAAGGCAAAGGTGTATGGCGAGATGCTGCATGTGGACATACCCTTCCCCATCCCCGAGCCTGATGGATGCAAGTCTGGGATCCAGTGCCCCATCCAGAAGGACCACTCATACAGCTACCTGAACAAGCTCCCTGTGAAGAGCGAGTACCCCAGTGTAAGTAAACAGGAACCCCACCTGCGCGTCGCGGCTGCCCTCCTTCCTGGGGCAAACCCACAGCCCGTCTGTAAAGAAGAATGCTTCATCTTGCAGTATGGGGAAGAGATCAGAAGGATCTTCAGCTGCTTCTCACTTCTGCTGTGAGTGGGATTCTGTCCACAGTTCCTGTTTTGGGACAAACACGTCAAAGGAAGCAGCCTGACTCCAGCTGCTGAGAAACTGCTTCAGCTATCCCCGTGTGTGTTCCTTGTGTGCTGTGCCTGCACTGCCAAGGCTCTGCTCCTGGCCAAGCACTCAGATTTGGGGCAGTTGGCTCCAGGTGCCATTCAGCGGGGACGTGCTGGCTGTTTCCTCTGCGCTCTCAGATGGGGGTTCTCAATGTAGCCTGTGGAAGTCTCCGTGTTACACAGCAGTGCCCTCCAGCCACACAATATTGCAGGAGTCACCGCAGGTGGCCCAGCTCCTTCTTCCCACAGGATCACCAGGACCCCTCTGCTTCACAAACGACTGAAGCTGCCTGTTGTCTTTGCTTTGGTCTCTCCTAACTATTCTTACTTCATTGTTCTCTTGCAGATTAAGCTGATAGTGAAATGGGAGTTGGTGGATGACCAGGATCAGATGTTGTTTTGCTGGAAGATACCAGTGCAGATCACCAGCTGAGGAGCTCTGCCATGAGTTGGGCTCGGGGAAGAGAGAAACAGAGAAAATAACACATGCCAAAATCTTTTATATAAGTATTTCTTACTGCTTCCTTCAGAACTCTGCAGCCTCTGGGCAGCCAGTACTTTGTTCCTGCAAGGC